AATCTCTGCTGTTATCTGAGAAATTATTTCTGATTTCATTTTTTCCAGATCCTCTTTTGTTGCCAGTTCAGGGAGTCCAGGTGGTTGAGTAGGGGAGAGTTTCATCTCGTTTCCCTTTGGGGTTGCCTTAGGCGATTTAAAAGTTTGGTTTTGAGGCTTGTTTACCTGTCTTCTCATTTCAACAGATGCAGCCTGCTTTGCCTTTGTTGGGGCAACTTTTTGCTCACCCAGTGGTCTTCAATTCTCAGTAAGCCACAGAGCTGCCTTTTCTCTGCTGTTCACCAGTACACTAATTCCTGGCTTCAGAGTGGTGGCCTCTGGGTCCCTGAGCTGACCTGTTGTCTGGGTGGGCTTCTGGCTGGGGCCTGTGCACACTTGGGATGATATCTAGGTGTGCCACTGGCTAGGTCCCCTATGTAGCTGTTGTCTGGGAGGGCCTTTGGCTGGGGGCTGTGCACCCCAGTTCCTGCTGGGTGAGCAAGCTTCTGGCTAGGGTCTCACGCACTTACTGATGGTACTGGGGCAAATCTCTGGCTGTTGCTTATATGTCTGTGCAGCTCCTTTCCAGGCAGGCCCTTGGCTTGGGCTGGTGTGCCCTAGCCTCTGGGGATGGGGCTGAGCCCTGGCTGGGATCTGCTTGCAGTCGTGCTGCTCTGGTCCATACTGCTGCTCCCCCAACTAAGGTGGTCTGGTGTGCCTTTATTGCAGAGATTTTCTGTACTTTTCCAGTGGGCTTTAATTTTCATGAAGGGGCCTCAGCGAGGCCCTCTTTCTGTTGTTCACTTCTACTCTATCTTGTCAAGCTTAGAACTATGTCCTTTATGACCCCTGCAATTCTGTGGTGTGGATCCAGGTAATGGCTTGGAACAGCCATGGTGGGGGGTGGTGCTGGGACCTGTGTGGCTCACCTCCTCAGTGCTCTGGGGTGGTGGTATGGTGGCCTGAGAGGCTCACTTCCTTGGCCCTCTGGGGTGGTGGCACGGTGGCCTGAGAGGCTCACCTCCTTGATGTTCTGGGGTGATGGTAAGGCAGCCAATGGTCAGAAGGTATATTGATGAGTCTTATAAAATCAATAACTTTTACATAACTAGGTAGTTTATGAATATGAAAAAATCACTGAAGTGAAATGATTTTACGGAAGTGAAATGATTTCACAGCCTGAAGTACAAATAGTCACATTACAGTTTGAGTTATTATGTGACATGGTCTCCAAGTATGCAAGTTCTTGAATAATTTTTCCTATGATACCTGTTTTTTAAACTCTTACTATTCTCTCAAGGTGCTAAAATCTGTGCCAAGATGTATTTCAGCTACTATTTTCGTGTGACCCCAAAATTAATTTTGTTCACTCCCTAGCTACTTCGGGTGTACCAGTTTCAGCAGTTACCTGAATGTACTACTGATTAAGTGCCTACCAACTAGGGCAGTGTTTCTCAACTAATATGTCTCAGAAGGACCTCCAAAGGACTTTGATATAGGGTGGGTTTTCCCTAGACCTTGGCTGCTTAGTAAAAAGATGGATCTATATATGCATATCACTTATTTGTTCCCACAGGTCAGAAGCCTGTCCTCCACCTTCCTAAAAATATTCAAAACAATGGGTTTGCTTTTGAAGTCCAGTCTAACAAGTCATCTGGGTCTTTACAGATTAAAAACTTTGAAATATGTAAGTAGATTTTTAGCAAAGGGTAAAGAACTTAAAGCATCCTCTTTCCCTCATCACACAAATACACAAAAGAGAATAGCACAGTGCTAAAGGGTCTGGCTTAGAACTTGGGATCCAACTAGCTTAGCCTCTCAAGTAGCTAGGAGTGTGTGCCACCACACCTGGTTTTTTTTTTTTGGAGATGGTCTCACAGTGGAGACCAGGCTGGCTTCGAACTCATGGAGATCCTACCTCAACCTCCTGAGTCCTGGGATTACAGGCATGTGGCACCTCCATGCCTGGCTTTACTAGGACTTATAAGATACCACTCAGAAGATAATTTTACTCAAAGTGATAATATGTTTGTTTTAAAATTTTATTGGCTTACAGATGACTGCCACACATTCTTCTCATCACCATCTTGCTATTTCTGAATGTAATTTGCAAAAGGAAGCACACGCCAAAAAGGGTTCCTTTAAGGACTCAACAAAATTTAAAATGGGAAAAATATGCTTCCAGTCAGAAAACACAATTTATCTTTCAGTTAAGAAAAAATTTTAATTTGTGCAGATTTTTAAAATACAGTTTTATTTTCCATTTAGGAACTGGGAAAAACAGCCATTTATTATGTTTGGAAGGATACCCCATTTTGCAATGTGCGGTCTTCCAGGTTCTTTTGGGCTATACCTGTTAAGCGGTATTCCATGGTGTTCATATTTCCTGTAAATCCATATTGTCTGGTAGAGCTTTCCATTCAGCTTTCTGACATTTTATCAAGAATTAGTAGAGGGGCAAGTATTCTTGCTCTGTTAGTTTCCACAATGCAGCCATTTAATACCATCTCATCCAAAATGATGTGTACTTTATCTAAATTAAACATTATCTAGCATCATATTAAGGAAATTAGCTTTCAAATTATAAAAAAAAGTTAACATTCAGTAAATAATAACATACAGCTTAGCATGGAATTTCCCCATATAGGCCTAAGTATGAGGGGTTTTTTGTTGTTGTTTCTGGAAGATCGAACTTGGGACCTTGTGCTTGAGAGGCAGGCAGCAGCACCACTGAGCTAAATCCCTGGCCTATGAGGGGTTTTTTTTTTTTTTTTTTTTGTAGAGAATTATCAAAATTGAAGTTGGTATCCATATGAGAAATTATTACCTTTACATATACATACCTACTCTTTCCTTGGTTAAGCTAACAATACACATAAAAATGAAAGAGCTACATTTTTTAGCCAAAAGGATAGCGTATTAAGAGCTAGAGAAGAAAGCAAGTAATCTTTGGCAAGAGAATGAACTTCAGGAACAGTGTTGTCTTCTGAGATAACAACAACAGCAATGATGTGTTAAATACTCCTCTTGTTCCAGACATTGTATTGCATGCTTTACATATTTTATTCTTCTCTACAACTCTGATGTACACATTATGTACTATCCTCATTCATCCAGGAGCAAATAGCTGAAAGCCATTGGAATTTAAACCCAAACTTTGGGCTTGACTGCTGTTTATTCTAGGCTTCTCAGAAGGTGGCTGAGGCTACCAAATAGACACCTTCCTTCAGCCCTCAAATCTCTACTCCAAAACAAACTGCCTTTATAATCCGACATCTTCACTTAATTCACTGTCAGACTGAAGTAAAAATAATGAGAAATGATTAAAGGAGTTAAGGTATGTTGAGTACATTCCTAAGGAAGATAAAAGTTCTGAATTTCTTTTACAAATGGAGTTATGAGAAATCATTTGTGAATCATGGAGCCATTTTAGCTTATTGGTGTTCTTACTGAACAAGTTAGTACATAGGGAAAGAAGAAATAAACAGTAATATCTGGCAAACCAGAAAGAGCCATATTCTTCCCTCAGGAACCTTCTTATTTGAATACCTAATTTTTCTTTTGTGAGAGAAGGGGAACTGGAATCAGATTATGGCAAAGGTGGAATGTTTCTCAGTTTTACACATTAAAATCTGAAGTTTCCATCTTCAAAGAGATCTGTATAAAAAAAACCCAGCTTGCTTCTAATAGACAAACTTCATTCAACAAACAGGTGATTAAATACAGTAGGGGAGTTCATAATTGAACTCATGGTAACAAATTATTACCACGTGATTTTTCTCTATTCCAGATGCTCACAGTTTGTACTGTATTTGCTTAGTGAAGTACATCTGTAGAGAATGAGACAATCTGTGAATGATTTCTAAGTTTCCATTAGATTCTGTGTTAACATCTCATTAAGCTCTGTGCAAATAGCTGGTCAGCAGAAAAAACTGTTTCAGGAACCGATGGGAACTATCCTTAAGTGACCCAGAAAAATTTTAAAAAGCTTTACTCTGATATACCTATTAATAATGTCTTCCAATTACATAGATGATTGCTCTGTCCCATGGCCAAACTGGGACTGGAACAAATGTTAGGCCTTTGACTCAAACCTGTTCACCAGCCCCAGAAGCCAGAATTTACAAGACTAAATTTGAGACTCAGTGGAAAAGACAACCAGGTAAACAAAAAGGCAGAGTGGAGAAGCACAGGTATTTGTATGAAAACAAACCCCAAAAAGCCTGCAAAACATGATTGTATTCGTTAAGGGAAATGGAAGCCTTAGTGCCTTTGAAAATGCTGATTATTTTCTTTGAGACAGAAGGAATTCGAATGTTAACCTATTTGAATTGGTTCAGGGATCAGGCTGCTCTAGAACTGCTCCATCTCTTACAAGCAGATGATGTGAAGTTTAGATGTCCCTTTGAGCAACTGCCCAAATGTTTTAAAACTGAGCTCAGAATTTACTGCTGAATGCTATCAACCACTGGCATCCCCACATTGCAAGGATAAAAGTCCTTCAGCAAGTCTGAAGGTCTCAGTATCCTGGAAACGGAGTTATTCAGCGAGGCGATTCTGTACTGTGGGCATGTGACTGCCTGTCTGTATCTGGCTCAAATTCCAATAATCATGCAACTTCTGGCACTATATGGGAAAACCACAGACCAAAGCCAATGTGAGGCAAGGCCTGATAGCTTATCCTGGGATCATGTGACTCCTTGAAAATAAGAATCCAGCTGTTGTTCACATCTTGATTTGGTTTATGAGCAACTTGTACACACTGGTCAAGCCACTTTGGGCATTTGGGCCTTGTGCCAGGAGAGCAGGGACTAAAAAACATATCCTATATGCCAAGCCCCGTGGCAATAAACATAGGCAAACATACTTCAACCCTGACATATTTGGAATAGGAAGAAACAAGAAAGGACTGGGCCGGGGATTTAGCTCAGTGGTTCTGCCGCCTGGAGCTCAAGTGCAAGGACCTGAGTTCGATCCCCAGTACCAAAAATAAAAAGAAAGAAAGTACTGGACTATTAGTCTATTAATTTAGTCGGCTTAGAATGACCAGTGCAATAGGAACTTACCTTCAGGCTATATTGAACTTAACTGACTAAAGATCCTAAGGCAGTTTCTTTCTTTTTCTTTTTTTTTTTTTAAGGCAGTTTCTTTCTTTCATGGGCCTTGTGGACTTGACATGAACTAGAAACAGTTTCCCAAAGAGCAGAGTTACTCAAGAAGCCTAACAGCCTTTCTGAACTTTTATGTAATGTGGATTGGAGTTGAACATCATAAGACCATTAATATTAGTGCCACTTAAAAATTTTGGAGGGGCAGTACTGGTGATGAACCCAGGGCCTTTGCATCTCATTCCCGGCCCTTTTAAAATTTTGAAACAAGTTCTTACTAAGTCACTAAGTTGTCCCGGTTGGGCTCAAATTCGTGATTTTCGTGCCTCAGCCTCCCAGAGTGCTGGGAATTCAGGCGTGTGCGACCATACCCAGCTTGGAATCAATTTTTTGGTGTTTTTTTTTTTTTTGGTACTGGGGATCAAACTCGGGACCTGGAGCTTGTGAGGCAGGCGGCAGAACCACTGGGCTAAATCCCTGGCTCTGGAATCAATTTTTAATTAAAGTGATTAAAATGTTTACAGATTAAAAAAAAAAACCCCAAAAGCAAAAAAGCCATGTGTGATGGCAAACACCCATAATCCCAGCACTCAGGAAGCTGAGGCAGGGGGATCACATGAGTTTGAGGATATCCTGGGCTACATAGTGGGTTCAAAGCTGGCCTGAATTACATAAGGAGACCCTGTCTCAAAAAGACAAAATGACAAAAAAGTTTACTGAATCTTCACTGGAATTTTGAACTCTGGATCACAAAACACTTTTCCAATATGGTATTTTAATGCCACTGTGGTGGTCTTGTTATCCTTTAATAAGTGAAAAAAACAAGTAGCATCAACTAAAATGGAACCTTCAAGGCAATTCAAGGGCAGAGCCCAGCCTAGAAATTAAAATTCCTAAGTGTAAACTTCAGTCTTAGGTTCCTTGGCTTCTCATTCCATCCCAGCTGAACAGAATTCTTTAACACAAAAGTAGGGTGGGAAGATACTTATGTCTTATTATTATACTGAAATTCAATTTTCTATGAAAGTAGAAAAGCTGCTGAGGGCCATTGTGTTCATGTTTCCCGTGAGAATTCAAACACCGCTGCAGAGAATGAGTGCTCCACAGCCCTGAAGAGACTGCTGCAGCAGAGGCTTTGGTTCATGTTTAGGCTTTGTGTGTCTCTTCTCAGGCCAGCCACTGAACAGGAGAACAACAGGACACTCAGGTTTGCTTACAGTTTCTATATAGGCTTATGCAAAATTAAATAAAATGTTCAGTCAAATAAGCCTGTGATATGACTAAAACAGAACCCAGAATCATGAAATAAAAAGAGTGGGGGAAAGGCAGAGGGACTTGGTGGGGAAAGAGAGTAGTGAGTAGTAGATGGATATGGTACCTGGAGGACTCAGAACACAGTGAAAAGAAGTAGAGTGGCTAATGCTAGTGGGAGCCAGAGAAGACAGGAAGGTGGAACTTGGCACTGCAATAGTCACAGCCCTTTCCCAAGGGAATGGCTGGCTGCCCCAGGACGGCTCATGACAGTACTGGCTAGCACACATGTCCTGGTCCCCTGTCCCTCAGTGTCTGCCCTTCCCAAAGACAGCTGCCTGCATGCAGTCCCTCAGGCTCCTCAGCCAGTTCTCAGCCCTTATATCTTAACTTTTAGTTTTTCATATTTTCAAAAGGAAAAAAAAGATGCTTAGAAATCTCTGAATGTGAATTCCACTTGTGGAAGTTATCAAGCCATGCTCTTGAAAATCATTCACAGATACTTTCTTTGAGATTTTTCATCCTTTCTGACTCTTCCAGCTGAAGACATGTTTCTCTAAAACCTCTCATTCATTAAAACAAACAAAACTTTAACACCACCAAGATGCCATAGCAACAAGTACTTTACAAATGTTTCATTAGAGACTAAATTGCCACAATCCACTCCAGACGATTAATAGATTTTTTTTAATGTATCAAATTTAGCTAGGCACAGACAGGTACAGTGGCACCCACCTGTAATCCCAGCTCCTCAGAAAGTTGAGACAAAGGACTACAAATTCGAGGCCAGTCTGGGAAATTTAGTGAGACCCTGTCTCGAAGCAAAAAAAAAATTTAAAGGTCTGAGGATGAAGTTCAGTGCAAAGATCCTGCATTTAGGGGCGGGGATTTAGCTCAGTGGTGCCACACCTGCCTCACAAGCATAAGGTCCCAAGTTTGATCCCTGGTACTGGCAACAAAACAAAACAAACAGACAAACAAAAAGGTCCTGAGTTTAACCACCAATACAGGAAAAACAAAAAAACTGGGGTCTGTGGCACAGATGAAGGAGGAACATCACTGGAGCCCAGCAGTTGGATGCCAGTCTGGGCAGCTCAGTGAGATCCTATTTCAAAACAAAACAAAATAGTATCAAGTTTAATCTACCTAGTCTATATCCCTCTAGTCAAGAGCCCTGGAAACACAAAGAC